AAATATTGGTAAAAAGGAAACACTCACTTTTTCTTTTTTAGTTGGCTGTGGCTAAGAATCAGAAATGTTGATGGCTTACAGCCTTTATTTGCCCATTTTGTGTCTTCAGAACTCCTGGCTGACTCAGAATATTTCGCTTTATAAAAGAAAAAAAAGGTTTTTGTTTTTTATTGTACATGATATTCATTTTTTTTTATTGGGACTAGTTTTGTAGCCTAATATTTGTTGTAGTAACCGCAGCATTCTAGTGTGAATCAATTTTCAATTTTGTGCTCCAAGCACACCAGGACTAGAAAACAGCCAATCAGAGAGAGAGAAGGCGGAACCTAAGGCAGAACAACCAATGAGAGTGGAGTTAAACAGCGCAGCACAGTTCCATGCGCTGCTGCGTGAAAGGGACAGGAGAGACCAGGCAGAGGAGCTGCGAGAGGAAAAGAAGCCACTGCTGCAACAACTACTGCTGTAAATTATAAACATGTTGCTCACATCCAATTATTGGTAGGGACAATTAGGTCGGTTCAAAATTTTGGTAGGGACATGTCCCTATGGTCCCTATGCAAACCTACGCCCATGATTTCTGGCATTGACTCAGACCTGTTCCAGGTGGTCCAGTTCATTTAATATGCAGCCAAGGGCCGGAGCCAGCCTGGTTCCATGTCCAGCAGATTCTGTCCCTAATTTTTGCAGTCGACAGGGTTCTGCTGGCTCCCTCCTGCTAAGACCTACAGCATGTAGTGTTGTGGCTCACAGATGCTGCCAGTAATTGCTTCTAAGTCATTTCACCTTGTTCCCTTCTTCATATACCTGCCTCTCTGTCTACTCATTGCCAGAATGTCTCATCTCATTGCCTGCACGAGTTGTTCCCCAGTAAACTGTTGCTCTGCCATTTCCTGTTGCTCCGCCTTACTGAGACAGCTGCTGCATGAAGCCACATTTGATCCTGTGCTGCTTTAAGCCTCATCTGAACCTCTGTGCTGCCTCAAGCTACATCAAATCTTCCCTGCAGGTTTGAGCCAAGTTTTTCCTCTCTGCAACATCTAGTCAAGTTCGGTTGTGTCTGCAATACCATATCAAGTCTGGTTCTGACTTTATCACCAGTTTCAAGTCTGCCTCTACATGGACTGTCTGATTTAATCCGACTTATTCCTGGTTCCTTCCTTCCATTTCATCAATGCTCTTGCATGCAAAAGCATAAAAACAACAGGAATTTTTCATATTCTATTTATTAACTATTATTTTATTAAATTATTTATGTTATCTTTAAGCTACCACAAAGTACTTTTCTTTTTTTTTCCCTCAATTACAGTATTTTGAATTGTCTTGCAACTGAAATATGCAATAAAAAACTTACATGGCTTGGGTTGCCTTACCTTACCTTAAAGATGTTTGGTTGTTTTGAGTACCACTGTGCATCTATCTTTGCATCTATACTGTCCATCTATCTTTGTCTGCTGGCAAAGTAGTGATGTTCAGATCACCCCACTCTCTTCTGTAGAGTGATGTTTGGAATGGGCATTCCTGCATTTTAGATTACTTTCAACTTTCATCCTAGGTTATCTCACTTCTGCCTTTTCAATGCTGTTCTTTGTGAGGCTGATAAGGTGGCAGTGATGAGTTCTGTTACCAAAGGTTGTATTGTGGTTATGGCAAACTTGAGACCTTTGGACAAGACATCCAAGTCTGACTAAGAGACCTCTGAAGGATTCTTCATCCACCAAGTCACCCTCAATGACTTGGTTTAAAGTATCACCAAGTTTCACTCTTTGCACTGGAGTAGTCCCAGAGGTGTCATTGATTTTCATTAGAAGTGACAGATTTTTTTTTTTTTTGTCTTTCTTTTCTCTTTTAGTGTTTATATACATATATTTTTTTCTTTTTTTGGGGGGGGGGTTTAAAACAGATGATCTCATCCACAAAGGCTCCTGGATATGCTCTGAAAGTTGGGCTCAGATTTTTTTCTCTCCTTTGTAATAGTGAATCAAGAGTCAAATTAGCCTTCCCGAGTCTTTTGCTGAAAAGCTGGCTTTGAGCTCTCAGAATGATCTGTCCCACTCTGTGCACTTAATAATCGACTTGATCACATGCTGTTTTTGTTATCTGCATTTCAGATTGAACCCAAGGTCTGTAATTTGCAAGATTTCAAGAAAATGTACTATTCCTACACCAAGATGAGGATATCATTACCAAATTATAATGCGTTGCAAATTCTTAGTCATTCTGGTCATGGTCTGCAGGGGACTGTGGCCTAGTGGTTAGGATATTGGACTTGGAATCCAGAGGTTCTGTGTTCGATCTACAGTCTGCACTCTGGGTCCCTGAGCAAGACCCTTAACCCCCTCTCCTCTCCGGGTGCTGCACAATGGCAGCCCACTGCTCTCCAAGGGCATGGGTTAAATGCAGAAAGTTAATTTGATTGCAATGATAATTAAAAAGCTGCAAAAGAAACAAAAAAGAGGCACAAATTGAACACAACCAGACTTTTGGTTTTATATTTCACTGTTTGTTTGTTTTTTTTGTTTTTTTTTAAAAGCAAAAGTCTTGTTGCCTTCAATTTAAGCCCATTTTGTTATTGCCTTGACCCAGATGACAAAAACATTGTACAGTCTTCATTCAAATTATTTAAAGGCATAAGTTAGAAAGTTATAACTTGTACTGACTTTAAAAGTTTACTCTGCAAATATTCCTGCCTAAAACACACAAATTTTTTTAAAACTGAAAACTAAAGCTAATTGATGTGTGCCTTTTTTGACACAGCCTTTTTAAAAGCTGTATCGAGGAACTGTCTAAATCAGCTCTGCAATTTCTTGTAAGAAGAATGGTCAAAATCCAGCAGTAAGCTTGTTGATGGTTACAAACACAATGTCTATATCTGCAGCTTGCAAAGTGTTGGTGGATCTACATGTTTATTTAGCTGTTGTAAAAGAACAATTTAAAAGCACTATTGAATACCTGGAATCATGGAGAGGATTATTAGAAAGCCCTCTCTCCTTTGTTTATAAAAAATTTCAGTGTAAGCTAATATACCTCTAAAGCATGATAGTAAAGAAAACAAGGTTGGTCTGGTTTATATTTTTTTAAATATTTTTTTTAATTATTACTCTATATCTTATGACATTTTTGATGTTAAACGCATATGAATTTCCGGCCAGTGCTGTACATATACCAAGCATATGCCAAAAAATTAAATAAAAATTTATATATATATATATATATATATATATATATATATATATATATATATATATATATATATATATATATATATATATATATATTGTTTGTTTTTAATTTCTAGCAATAAATGGTGAAAGCAGATTTCAATAAATTCATTTTATATTAAAAAGTATACTTTTAAAAGATAAAAATGTCCATTCTGCTGTTGTCATCTAAAACTTTCTATGTATATATCATCTATCTGCTTCTTTGTAGCAGGAAAAGCAGTAATCGCCAGATGCCTGCACAGGGGAACCATGCAAACTCCATGTAAAAAATTGTAACGATCAACATTGCAACAACGTATCCACCGTACAGCCCTAGTCATCTGGAATATTGTTTCATCATTTCCTCAAACTCCTAACCATTACTTTGTCATTGGAGTTACCACAGTAATGGGCTTTTTTATGGCTAAACTTTTAAGGGAATATTATTTAAGCAGTTTTGCATATTGCTGAAAAATTGTCACATAGATTATAAATTGAATCCACACCACCGTGCCACACACTCAGCCACACACACCTTCTTTTAGATCTCATTATTGAATGATAATTTTAGACAGGATGAGGCAGGGAGCCATTAGTTGTGAGGAAAGGAGTGAAGGGCCGGATATTAATCAGATGGACCTTGATGAGGACCTGCCACCCCAATCATCATTCAGGGTAAGACTGTAAACTCAGCAGTACACAACTTCACTTATTATATGGTCACTAACTCAATATATATCAGATATTTGACTGTTTAACTAATCCTGGTGCATTTATGTACATAAATCCCAGTTTGTGTAAGAATGGTGGGGAGAACTGAATGAAGTTGCATATATGCTCCACTTGGGGCACTGTTGCATTATCTTTGTTTTCAACCACTGCTACTAGTACAAGTGGGAAAGTCTGTTGTGCTGCTTAGTAATCAAGTCCACTGCGGAAGTCTGATGAGCTCATTCTGAGGTGTTGAAGTATTTCTGATGCAGTCATTCAAATATGTATTTATGGAAAAATCTTTGTCACAGTAAAGCTTCCAGTCTTACTTAATCCAATGATCTAATTCTAATTATCTCTTTATTCTACATACTTTGGCCAAGTTTAAAAAAAAAATGTATTATAAATACTCTGAGCTTTATAATAACATCTATACACTTATGAAATCTTTTACTCCAGTTCCATCAGCGGCATCGTTTTACTGAACTTGAGATGATTTAAGATCGCAGTTTTATCAAATTAGAGGCACGATGGAGGTTAAAAATGTTTTATTTTTTTTTCCAAATGAAAATATTATAATATTGAATAATTTATGTTTAGACACCCTGAGGTAATCTAAGAACGATGAAGGAATGAATTAATTTATTTCAGATAACCCAGTGAAATTATAAATTCCACAAATACACACATTATGTTTAATTAATTATATGCATACTTACAGTACTTATGTCTAAAAAGGGGAAGGACGAGTATACCATTTAAATTTTTGTTTACTGTAGAATATTTTATAATTCTTTTATTCAGATTTTAAATAGATTTTTAGTGTGGTAACTTTTGAAAATTTTGTTTGTGTGAACATAATGCTTACATTAAGATATTTCCTTTGCCGCCAAAACACTTAAATTACCCCACTACACTCAAAAAAGTGGGACTAAGCTAAATTAATATTTACAAAATAAATACTAGTAACCGTTACATAAAAAAATTGTCTGTCTGCAGTTTGGTATATTGTTATGATGTTTGAATTAAATTTGAAGTATTAATTTTACTAATTTTTGTTTGAATAATATCAGCTGAAATCACTGAGTAGAATTTGATACTATTTTGTCAGTAAAGTCAACAATGTCGAAAAATTAATAAATTCTAATAATGGGAATTCTGTAGTTTTAAACACTGTACACTTCCGCCGAAGGCATTTGCGCCATACGCAAGTTGATGTCTGCCACACCCGCCATCAACTGATATCTGCTCAAGGTAAGAGGCTTTAATAACAACACAAAGCTTTATATCTATGATGCTACAGCAGTTGAACATTGTTTTGCCTTAGCCCGAGTTACCTAACAAGTTTACTGGCAGTAAATTAAGCCTTTATCAGTCGGAGTCAGATTCAAAGTCAGTCGGAGCTTAAAAAATTGCGCGCGCAGAGATGTGTTTAAGCTAGCGCGACTTATTACTCAAATATAATGCCAAAGACAAGGTGTTACACTAACGACGTTCGTGTTTTTGATCTCTTCAAACGCGAATATCCAACTTGAAACTAACTTCACTGCGGTCGCACAATACACTCTGCACCCCTGAATAAAAGTTTCTGGAATCAAGTTGTAGAGCACTGTAACTAATGTTACTTTTTGCACTTTCCTACTTGCCCTCCTATTTGCATGGTCTATGCATATTTCGGTGATAATTTATCTAGCATGGATTTTTATTCATGGCATGGAAAATTCAACTCGCCATAAAAAAAATACGTATGTATATGTATGTATATACAGGGCCGGTTCTAGCCCTTTGGTTGCCCTAGGCAAGATTGAGTTTTGCATTAAGCATTCAGAAAAAACTGTAACTTAGCATGGAGTGATGCATAGACAAATACCAGAATAGGTTTCAGTACCTTTTCTTTTTTATTATTTTAAATAATTTATTACACACTCAAAGTTAGGACTGTGCAAAAACACTTTTAACCATCTGTAAGGACACTGTAAAGTATAACTAAAAAACTGGATTGAATCATTGAATGAATTTATTTCAGACAATTAACAAATTTAACACACATTAAAGAAATATTAAATACATCAATTTCAGAAATTACCAAATAACAATAAAAAATAATAAATTTAAGAAATTCTTCAACCAAGGACTACATAAAAAAGTAATTGATAAACATTAAATTAAAATTTCTGTTCCAGTTCAATTAAATCATTTGAACATAAATAGAAATGAGATAAACAAAATTTTCCTCTAAATAAAATATATCAGCTATATTTACCCTGATTTCTGACATTGATTAGTGATTAAAGAAAGGATTAACCCTCTACAAACAAAAGTGCTTTTATGAATACCATTACAAAATTAAAAGTTTGAAGTTGTTGTTTTTTTTTTGTTCACATATTCTATGATGAACAGCCATAACTTCATATATTTTGATGATTATTTGTACATCCCTTTTGAATACTCAATGCAGATAATCACTACAAAATATTTTATTTATATTAGTATCTTCTACCCATTCTCAAGCTAATAATATAGCACATAATTCTGCTGCATATATACTGAGAAAAAAATGATGTCAACATTAGGGATGGGGATCGTTAATATTTATTGATATCGATACCTTTATCGATACTCCTTATCGATCCGAGTCTTTATCAATACCACTATCGATACTTTTCTGTTATTTGGTGGAAAGACGATGCAACAAAATTTTTTTAACAGAACTGGTATTGCTTCTATTGCTTAACAAGTGAGCATAACAAAAACGTTTCTAGCCTTCAATAAACATGGCTAATGTAATAGGCCACTTCGAAATGACATAAAACTAACTAGAATATATTTTCACAATTGTTGGTTAATGTATTGTCTACTGTCACTTTTCATCATGTTTTTAGTGATTAGGAAAATATTTAACAAATAAATAATTGTATTTTAAATTAAATGTAATTTTTAATAAATGTTGGCATCAGTAGTTTAATTATATATAGAGCAATATACAACTGTATTACTCATGTTTCTCGCCAAAAACAAAATTTCCCGTTTTCTTTACGTTACACTTGAAGGCATCATGATAACCTAATTGTCGTTTTACTGAGCTAATCTGAACACATCATCACGCAGCACGTCTGAAACGAATTTACTTTTCAAGCTAACTAGCTTGTATGCTTCCGATTACAACACGGATTTCACAATGAATATTTTTAACTGACCGGACAAGCTACAAAGTCTGTGTGCGCTTACCAGTGGTACTCTGAGTGGATGATTAAGATGGGCCCGACTGCGGCGGCAGCAGCAGGAGGAGGAGGAGGAGTCTTTTCCGTTCAGCCATCCTCGAGTCGCGAGCTAAGTTAACTGCCAGACTTCACTAGTTTTACTTTTAATATCTGTTTGCTTACAATTTCATTCCAAAATATTGGTGTACATGCTGCAGTGATTGACGTCACGACTTCCGGGTTGGAGGGCGCTTGAAAAGTGATCAGAATCTTTTCCGATTTTCTCTTAAATGTGAAAAAATAAATAAAAAAACGGTGGTATATTTATTTGTTCATATTTTGCTATTTATATATACGTAAGGTTAAGTCAAACTGACGGACGCTTCATAACCGGTTTAATTCGCTTTTTTTTCTAATTCTATGATTAATGGGAAGTAAGCCTAAGGGCGACGCTAAGTATAGAGGGCGCCCCCAACACATTTGTCGCCCTAGGCAATTGCCTAGCTCGCCTATAGCAATCGCCGGCCCTGTGTATATATATATATATATATATATACACTATATTGCCAAAAGTATTTGCTCACCCATCCAAATTATTGGAATCAGGTGTTCCAATCACTTCCATGGCCACAGGTGTATAAATTCAAGCACCTAGGCATGCAGACTGTTTTTACAAACATTTGTGAAAGAATGGGTCGCTCTCAGGAGCTCAGTGAATTCCAGCGTGGAACTGTGATAGGATGCCACCTGTGCAACAAATCCAGTCGTGAAATTTCCTCGCTCCTAAATATTCCACAGTCAACTGTCAGCTGTATTATAAGAAAATGGAAGTGTTTGGGAACGACAGCAACTCAGCCACGAAGTGGTAGGCCACGTAAACTGACGGAGCGGGGTCAGCGGATGCTGAAGCGCATAGTGCGAAGAGGTCGCCAACTTTCTGCAGAGTCAATCACTACAGACCTCCAAACTTCATGTAGCTCAAGAACAGTGCGCAGAGAGCTTCATGGAATGGGTTTCCATGGGCGAGCAGCTGCATCCAAGCCATACATCACCAAGTGCAATGCAAAGCGTCGGATGCGGTGGTGTAAAGCACGCCGCCACTGGACTCTAGAGCAGTGGAGACGCGTTCTCTGGAGTGACGAATCGCGCTTCTCCATCTGGCAATCTGATGGACGGGTCTGGGTTTGGCGGTTGCCAGGAGAACGGTACTTGTCTGACTGCATTGTGCCAAGTGTAAAGTTTGGTGGAGGGGGGATTATGGTGTGGGGTTGTTTTTCAGGAGCTGGGCTTGGCCCCTTAGTTCCAGTGAAAGGAACTCTGAATGCTTCAGCATACCAAGACATTTTGGACAATTCCATGCTCCCAACTTTGTGGGAACAGTTTGGAGCTGGCCCCTTCCTCTTCCAACATGACTGTGCACCAGTGCACAAAGCAAGGTCCATAAAGACATGGATGACAGAGTCTGGTGTGGATGAACTTGACTGGCCTGCACAGAGTCCTGACCTCAACCCGATAGAACACCTTTGGGATGAATTAGAGCGGAGACTGAGAGCCAGGCCTTCTCGTCCAACATCAGTGTGCGACCTCACAAATGCGCTTCTGGAAGAATGGTCAAAAATTCCCATAAACACACTCCTAAACCTTGTGGACAGCCTTCCCAGAAGAGTTGAAGCTGTTCTAGCTGCAAAGGGTGGACCGACGTCATATTGAACCCTATGGATTAGGAACGGGATGTCACTTAAGCTCATATGTGAGTCAAGGCAGGTGAGCAAATACTTTTGGCAATATAGTGTATATATATATATATATATATATATATGTGTGTATATATATATATATATGTATATGTAAATGTATGTACATATATATATATATATATATGTATATATATTTATATGTATGTATATGTATATATATTTATATATATGTTTATATATTTATATGTATGTATATTTGTATATATATTTATATATATGTTTATATATTTATATGTATGTATATTTGTATGTATGTATGTATGTATGTATATATGTATGTATGTATATATATATGTATGTATGTATGTTTGTATATATATATATGTATGTATATATATATATATGTATGTGTATATATGTATGTATGTGTGTATATATATGTGTATGTATATGTAACAAATGATCTTGTTGTGTATATGACTGTGAGACAGTCTATCACAGTCAAGTCTGTTAATCTAATAATTATGGATCTAACTGTACGTACAAAAGCAAGTGTAAACTTTTGTTGCTTGTTTGGCTGAATTTCATATATTCCTTCTTCTGAGTTTGTGCTTAAAATATTATTTCATCCAAATGAATTAAAGCTATGCATTTTTTCTAGGTGTATAAAGAATCTACCAACACTTATCTGTCAACACTTAAAGACCGCAGGTATGTATTGCACTTACTAAATACATGCTGTTATACTACTCTACAGAACTACTTCACATACAGTATATTGTGTAAAGGTTCATTCTCTGTTTTGCAACACAATGTTGATAACTTATATAAAAATCATGTTTTTATCAACTTTTGCTGGCTACGCAAATTTGATACAGTTTAACCCGAAGTTAAAACTTGAATTTGAAATGAAAGCAGCATAAAATATAGAGAATATTTTTCTTAGATATGCAGTATTTCTATAATACCATATACCCATATAATTATTAGCACTATTATTGAAGTAGGTTACTCTTTATACAGTTACTGTATACAAGTTAATAGTTCCTTTTTTTCTTATTACTTTAGGTGCTGATGGGATGGCAGTGTAAGATCTGCAAGTCTTTGTCTGCTACAAAAGGGAACCTACTAAAGCATTACAGACTAGAGCACACAACATTTGGTCACGGGCAATCTCAGCCATGTCCCTATAGTGGTTGCCCTTGCACATTCAAAACGCAGAGTGCTCTTCGCACACATTTGTCCAGGTACCATACCTCTAAGGAAAGTCTACAGCCATATATCTCCACTTTCAAGTGTTTAGTTTGTGATGCTAGTTGTTCTACTGAGAAGGATTTCTTTCAACATATTGGAAATCATCTGAAAGGCCATGAAACTGTCTTTTGTGTATTTGAAGGGTGCAGTTTTCGGACAAATATTTACAATACATTTCTAAAACACAAAAGCAGAAGACACCAACCCTATTCTTTGAGTGATTTTAAGCAAGCTGTGTATGAAAGACACTATGATCAGACAGCTGACCTCTCTGATTTACCAGAAGCCAGTGCTGATGAGGGAACTAGTCTAGATGGTGATCCCGAATGTGCATCATACCTAGTTCTGAAAAGAATTGCTTTGCTTCTGCTGAAGCTAGAAAGTATATGCAATGCATCTGTGAGGTGCATTGATGCCTTGGTTGAAGACCTTCACTTCATTTCATCTGCAGCATCTGTTGCCGTTGTAAGAAATACACTCGATTCAACATTTAGATCAAATAAATGCACTGTAGACCAGGCATTCATATGTGACTTGGCAGAACAACTGTGCAACTTCCATCCCATTAGTACAGCACTAGCGGCAGGTGGTCCTCTTAGCACAGCTTTTAAGAGAAGAAGATATTTTAAAGAGCATTTCCAGTGTGTTGACCCTGTTGAATATATTCTGGATTTTCAAAAGAACAAGACCTTTCAGTATGTGCCCATTCTCAAAACTCTGCAGGAAATTGTAAAGAATAAAGACGTTGCAGACGGAATTATATCCAGGTGTTCAAACAGCACTGGATATATTAAGTCAATTTTTGATGGCAAATTTTACAGACAAAATGATTTTTATGCTGGAGAAGAAACACGACTCTCAATAATCCTTTATGTAGATGATTTTGAGGTGTGTAACCCTCTAGGGACCTCAAGGAAAAAACATAAAATTACAGCCATTTATTGGATTTTGGCAAATTTGCCAATTGAATTGCAATCTGAATTAACGTCAATACACCTAGCTTTACTTTGCAAAGCTGTTGATGTCAAAGAGTTTGAATACAAAGTAGTTTTGGAACCACTATTAAAAGATCTTGTCACTCTAGAAAAAGAAGGAGTTTTCATTCCCAGTGCTGGAAAAAGTATTAAAGGGACAGTACACTGTGTTTCAGCTGATAATCTCGGGGCACATTCAATCAGTGGACTAGTTGAAAGTTTCACAGGGCCATACACGTGTAGGTTTTGTCTTGGACATTCTTCCAAGTACCAGACACATGAAGTGCGAGGTGGAGCATTTCCACCCCGTACAAAGGAGGACCATAGTTTGCATGTACACACTGTTAAAGAAAATCCCAGTTTAACACATTTCTTTGGTGTAAAGCGGTCGTGTCCATTGACCGACAAACTGACTCACTTTCACTTTGTCTCTGGATACCCACCAGATGTACTTCATGATGTTTTTGAAGGGATTGTTCCAAGGGAACTAGCATTGTGTATTCAGGTTTTCACTAGAAAAAAATACTTTAATTTAACTCAACTTAATGAGTTAATTAAATGTTTCCCCTATAAGGGCTCAGACAAAACCAATAGCCCTCAGGAAATCCCTCAAAATTACATCACTCGCAAATCTATAGGGGGAAATGCTCATGAAAACTGGGCCCTAATACGTTTGTTGCCACTCATTGTTGGTTCACTGATACCTGAGGGTGATTGTGCTTGGCAGGTTCTTCTGACTTTAAAAGACATAGTTGAACTGGTGGTTGCTCCTGTTCATACACTTGAAACTATTGCATATCTTGACTCTAAAATATCTGAACATCGTGACAGACTTTTGGCAGTTTTTCCAGAAGAGACACTGACACCAAAACACCATTTTTTGGAGCACTACCCCACATTGATTGAAGAATATGGACCTCTGGTTGGTGTGTGGACAATGCGCTTCGAAGCAAAACACAGCTTTTTTAAGAAGGTTGCGAGGCACACTAACAATTTCAGGAATGTCTTGTTGACCCTTTCGACACGACACCAGATGATGATGGCATATCACTTGCAAACAGATGGTGGAAAGCAGGCACTGTGTGTTACTAAAATATCTGAGGTGCCTTTAAATGTGCTGCATCCAGACATACAGGGACTCTTAAGAGAAACATCACCACTTCTGTCTGTTGTGCTGTTAGCCAAGACTGTCACCTGTTATGGAACAAGGTACAATGTTGGGATGATCCTGTCCTATGGCTCTACAGGTGGACTTCCTGATTTTGCTGAGATTATTCAGATTGCTATTTTGGACAACTGTGTACACTTCATTGTAAAGTTACTGGCTGCCTGGTATGAAGAGCATCTAAGGTCTTTTCAGTTGGAGGACACTGGGAAAATGGCACTTTGGGAGCAGCAGAAACTTGGTGATGTCTACCCCTTGGCTGCGTACAGTGTGGGAGGAAAATGCTTGGTTACACTCAAACGTCACATCTGTTGTCCGTTTTAGGTAAATTATATTGAACCTTACATCTGTACATACATAATGTTATCTGTATTCTGGTTCATGCAACTGGAATTTTAATTTCTTTTGAGTAATTATATGATAGTTATAATTATGGCTTACATATATATTGTTGTGATTTCATCATTCAGGTAATAATAATAATAATTTTTAACTTGTTTGGTGTCCATATCTAAAATATAACTTTAAAAAACCCATATAAATTGATTATTAATTTTAAAGTTAAATGAATTGGGAATATAATAATTATTTATTGTCATATTTGAATAGTTTATAGTGTTAAAATGAAATGCAAAAATACTTTTTAAAAGATTTTGTATATTTTTTTCAACTTTTAATTCATAAAACTGAAAGTGGTCTAACACATACAGTATGATAGCAGCATTAATCAACATTAGACACATAACTAATTACATACATGGCAACACACAAAAAATTATCAGAGTTCCATTGATTTTTAATTTTAGTGATTTATCATGTGATGACAGAATAAGGAAATAGAATATTTAGTTGAAAATTCAAGTGTATTTCAGTTGTCATTAATAGTCACTGAGTTTCTTTTGTTTCTTTTTTTTCTGGTGGCACGTCTAGGCTCTTCATTGTAGTATTTACTGTATGTGTAGTCTAACTGTCTGCTTCTGTCTGTGGATATTCTTATCAGGCCGGAGAGATGGAGGAAAAATTGCGAGTAATCATTGGCGACCGAATTGAGAAGTTGGTCCTTCAATCAGGAATCCCACCGACTGTGGAGGAGCTGCAAACTATTGTGAAAGAGAAATTTGGAATTTCTGAGGAGTTCAGTCTTCAGTATTTGGACTCAGAATTTGAAGATTACTTTACACTGCATAAAACTGACCAAATTAAACACAAAGACACGGTAAAGGTTATCTATGCTGCCCCGATTATTCTTAACTTGCAGCAAGTTGAAGGAAGTTTGGACATTTCTTTTGGTCAACAGTCAACAGACTGTGACTCCGTATCTTATGCAGAGTCTTCTGCATCAAATACAGAGTCATCTGCTGGAACATCATCTTCAACGGACACTATTATCCTGCCTAGACAGAGAAGCACCACTGAACGATGTCAGCAATGGCCAAAGCAGTTTCCCATTCCACAGTTTGCATATGAGACTGAGATGTGCCTTGAAAGAGCCGATGAAGACCACAGAAAGAATGGAACACTTCTGACTGCCTCAAAGGTCAAAGCAGACATATTGGAGAAGCTGGCTGAAACTATATATATGTATACAGCTTATCCATCAAGTGCACAGATATGTGATGTTGCTGAGGCACTTGTCAATAAATATCCTTGTCTGAAGGAACCTGGCTCCTTCTCAGGCTACTATGGCTGGCAACAACGCCTCAAATACAAGATGGCAAATTATCGTACCAAACTCAGAGGTTACGGAGTTCCTGAGGTGATGTGCAATGCCTTCAAACGCAAGAGCCCTGGGGACCAAAAATCTGCAAAGAATGTGAAAAAGCCTCGAAAAGCAGAAGTAAACTACCTCCCACCTTACCCAGCAGGAGAGGATGAGGAAAGTCAAGAACAGGAAAGGATACAGTTGCTGACTGAAGTAAGGAAAAGAGACAACAACAAATTGATCAAAGAAAAGATGGCCAAAACATTTGCACACCGAAGAAATGATATCGTTAACCAATCACCTGCCATAGAGGACATCAAAGCCAGATGGCCAGCTCTATTCGAGGCATCTAATGTGAGTTACAAGTGTATTGCAATCAGAAGCATTCCTTTGCAATTTTGAGGGGATAGCTATTTTATACAAAATGTGTTAAGTGACTGTCATTTCATAAATTATGTTTCACATATTTTCAAATATAGTTTACAGGTTACATAATTTGTCTTTTAGATCGAGGATGAGTTTCACAGAATTACAACGGTGCACCTGGAATCGAAGTTCATGTCCAAGCTGGATGAATACTCTCCCAGGCTTCTGAACCTCTTCCACTCAAAGGGTGGGACCATGGGATTAAGGTTGCAGACTATCCTACTGAAGGTATCCTAAGTTTGGCCATATTATGTTTTTTAGTGCAATAAGTGCATATCTTACAGCAGTTTGTATGGCTACCGAAATGGACAATGTTTATCACACATTCTCAAAAATATGACCATAGCTCAGGCAAAATGTTTTCATTTTAATACATAGATTATAAATAATGTGTTCTATATATGTTTTACATTACTCTGCTCTTACCTGATACATTCTGGATAAATGTAAATGTCTGACTCTTTAGGCACCAGCTGCCACTCACTCCTATTTTCTAGCAGCTTAAATGTTAAAATGGAGTTATAACAATATTGCTTCTTTTCTTCTACTGTAAATTTGAGGGTACGACCAGCGGAACCCATATATATATATATATATATATATATAATATATATATATATATATATATATATATATATATATATATATAAAAACAACTTTGGCAACCTTTATTCCCTAAGGTGGTATGTGGCTGAATTTCTACTTCACTGCAGTAAAAAAAACAAAAAAAAACAGGTGTTTTGTATTGGCCTGTAGAAAAATGCATTTACCAAATGGCTCACAAGAAGTGACTGTGGATAAGATGACTGCATTGGCATGTTGCTCCACAGGCGCAGGGGGGAGGTCAGGGTTCTCCGGTAGGGCGTCAGGGCGACATGGCATTTAGAACGTCGGACAGCACTTCTGAAAAACTAGATTGGGAGATCCCAGCTCTCGCTGCAACCGTACGCTGGAATGACCCAGATGCAAAAAAGTGCAATGTTGCAAGGAGTTTTGTGATATCTGGTATTGCGTGGGTCCTCCTTGTGCCTGGCTCCAAATCCATTCGGAGTTCCCCCAACAGCTCCAAAATGGCAATGCTGGATAAACGATATGTTTTGATGATCGTTTCCTCAGTCATTCCAAAAATAATCACACGGAGTGAAAAAATGCGTTCTCTGCGTCTCCTTGCTTTAATTTCGATGTCTCCTTCTTGCGACAATAACTGCTGCCATGTGTGCGCAATTACGCATACAGACCATTTGCACCTTCTTTTGAAACGTGTTAAATATAGAGTCAGATACCGTTAGCAAAATTGCTTTCAGGTTAGATAAATCACTTTGCGAGTGCTAAATTAATATATTTACATGTTCTCCTCCCACAAGACACACTTTTGCGTGTAAACGCCCCATATTGCATATTCATAGCAGAAAAAGTACTAAATGGATAAGAGGCGCTATTTAGGACGTTTTAAAGACCAAATCCTTTTAGCACGCTGTTGATAGATCAGTTTGTACATTTTTTAGCGTGCGCAGTGAAATAGCTCACGTTTTTATACACGCAAACCTTTGATAGATCCGGCCCTTATTGTTAAAAACTGCACCTTGACCTTGAGTAATATTAATTTATGTGTTTTTCGTTTTCATTTCAGGCTCCTAGCAATCCTAACATCAACATAACCAGAGACATTGTCATCCGGTGTCTGATGTTGTACCTTGGGGAATCTGCCGATCAGCTCTTTAAAGAGTATGATGTAAGTTGAAATGCATAACTCTTTCAATCTCTATTTATTAAGGACCATCTCCTTTAGCTGCACAGTCTAAAATACAAAATGTTCTCATTATTTTAGGATGCAGATGAAGACAGTGTGGCACAGGACCTTGCTGTACAAAGGATGAAAATTTACAGCATCCAGAGTAATCTGTCAGAGGGTACAGAGGACATCGGAATCGTGATAGATGGTACAAAGGTTCTGACCGCTCTGGGTAACTTTCCAAGAGCTTGTGCCATGCTTGTTGGTTTGACGTATGCAGTGAATCTTGCTTATCCCAAGGAGCTCAGGTACACTTTCGAAGCCTTTCAGAAACTCTTCCTGGAGCTGGACTGTTCAAAGCTTTCTCCAAAAGTGAACAGCCTCAAGAGCAAGCTACTGGCTTAAGAAAGGGAGCCTAAATACACTGGTGTGCTCAGTTATTCTGTGTGTTCAAGTGATTTAAGTGTTCAAGTTTTGTTAAAAAATAATGTTATCCATACTCATCTGAAGGGGATGATGTTTTTTGTAGCTTGGTGTTCCAGAAGTAACAAGTAAATGATAATGCTGCACTATAACTAGGACAGTGACAGTTGTGTCTTGATAACACAGAGTTTCTAGATGGACTATGAACACTTTGCCCCCACCTTAGGACATGGATGCCAGTGACACAATCCACTTTCACAGAGGCAAAAAAAGACACTCCTCTTGTTTTTCATAATTCTTCTGTTTGTTCTTGCAACAGCAATCCACAGCTATATTATGAAGATAGACAGTATTCTGCTGGGTCTTTACCTCTGTTTTGTGACCCTGGTAATTGTGAGCACAAGCTGTACTGATCTGACACTGATCTGAGGAGCCTACCTGTTCAATTGGCCTGCCTCAAATAGCAAGTGCCTTTGTTAAATATATTTTGCCATACTCATTTGAGGGGCTTGTTGTAATTCTGTTGTGTACACCAGGATTTCTTTGTATTTTGGCCTTTTACACGAAAAATTTTCAGAATATATGTGTAAACGAAGTTGCACAAATAAATGTTTACCTGCTGTTGTTCTAAATGTGGTCATTTGTTAACTGCCCTTCTGTAAATTCTTGCAAAGAACACATTATATTGAGTAGATTCTACATAAAAAATATATGGCAACAAAGTGACAATCAATAACATTAAATAGATTTTAAGTAATGTGGTACCAATTATAAGTTCATTTGAACAATTAAGTTATGTAAAAATAAATAACAATTTCAGTTTAAATGTGTTGAATTAAGTAACATTGTTCCAGGTTATGAGTTGATGTAGCTTATTTTATTTATTTAATCTAAATCATTTGTATCCAGATATTTAGAGAGATAGAATCATTTTAACGCATATAATTATTAAATATAAATCAATATTATCCAGATATTTAGTAAATGGAAATCTATTTCATCCACATAATTATTAAATATTATTTAATTCCACATAATAAATTAGTAAATCTAAATCACTTTTTCACAAATAGTTGGTATATCTAAATCACTTTCTTTCGGATACATAGTAAATATTAATCAATTTTCCCTGTATAGTTGATTTGGATTTACTCAACATTTGCCATATTATAAGTAAATCCAAAGTATTTCAACCAATGATTTCATTATTTTGTATTTAAAATTTTTGTTTAAATTTGTTTAATTAAATCAATGGTTTTTAATCAAAGTTGAAGTAATTAAAATCTATTCAATTATATTAAGTGTCACTTTGTTGCCTTAATTTTTTTAAGTAGACAATGGTCAAAATTTTCTGAGTGTATGGAAAGATAGAAGATATTTCTTTTCTGTTCCCTTACATCTGTTCAATTCACATCAAATCAGTGTATTTATACAGTGCCACTGTTTATTTTATAATATGTTTTTTTTCCCCACTTGAAATGTATAGTAAAAATAATCAGTAAAAAAAAACAAAAAACCTAACATTTCCAATTCCAAAGATTCTGTAAAAGGGAGCATGAAGAAGCCAATGGTCAACTGGTTCTATCCCTAAATTTGCATATCCTGAATACAGATAGCGATTAAACATATACATAACTACACATACATGCTTTTTAAATGCATTACATGTATGGCTATGTACTTAGACATATGCAATTTATGTGCAGATTTCAAATTAACTGTACTACATACAAATTCAGGTTTAATATATATATATATATACACACCTTAATTAGCTCATTCATGGTACATTTTATCTCAGGGCTCTTTACAGAGTCATTTCAATGAAATCATACAGATTAGTTAAAAGTTTTCTTTTTAATGAAAAGCAGATGATTGCATAGAGTCATAGGCTTTGCCGGATTATTTTCTACTCGATGAGCATGTGGCAACAGTACACTTCTGCTTGCATTGTGGTGTTGTTCTGCAGCAATCCCTCACACTTTGAGGGAAACATCTAGCAGAACCAGGCTCAGTGTGAAGGGTCTTTGGACTTAGTTAGCTGGCGGTTTGAGAAAACCGAGGCAGACACACAAAGGAACATGGAAGCACTGAATACTTTCTATGTTAGAGAAATAGTGGTAAAGTAACTCCATAAGTGGCTTTCTTTAGGATGGCAACATTCTTCAGCTCAAAAGGAAGAATGAGAGAACAGTTAGTTTAGTAACAGACCAAAGCGGTTTTCTTTTTTTTTTTTTTTAGAATATCACTTAAATCCATTTAAGTGGCTGACAGTGACTTACTAAGCACCTTCTTTTACAAAGACTCCATTCCAGAGGCAATAACTCTGTTTTCTGTGTTTTCTGAATTCAAAACATAAAATTTTAAGTCATCCAGTTTTTATCTTTTTGAGACATGTCTTTAATCCTCTTACAGGTCAGTTTTCATCAGGAGTTACCAACAAATATAGCTGATTATTATTATAAAAGTGAAACTTACTCAGAATTTGAAGAATATGTATAGTAAAGAGAAATGGCCCTACAGTATGTGTAGCACTGATCCCGATAGTACTTTACAAGAAACCCTGAAGTTTGAAGACGATTTATTAATATGAACCAATTAAAATCTGCCGGACAAATAAGATATTAGCCAGCCTAATGTCTTTCTAAGAGAATATGTGTATTAAATGTGCTTTAAAAATAGCAGATTAAACAGCTATTGAGATTATATGAGATTAAACAGCTCTTTTATTCTAGGATTAAACTATGTAGAGCTTATTTCCATCTGCTTATTATTTAGGTAAATTTTTAAAGGTGAACTGGATATTTGAACTGGATATTTATTTAACTGATGTCAGAGTAGAAGGGTCTGATTAATATGCATCCTGCACTTTTCAGTTTTCTTTTGAAAGGAAATTAAAATATTGAGGCATTTATAATTTTTCTTCCTTTTCAAAATAACTTTCTTTTGGCCTTTCTTATTAAATCATGATAATATACAGATGTGTTAGATTAGAATGTAACAAGCTATGAAAAATGTTTGAGAGTTTTGAAGTACTTACAAGGCACCAGGGATAACTTTTAAGCCTCGCTTAATATTTCCTCATCTGCTCTATGTGCACTTGTCTGTAGTACTTCATGGCTCTTTCAGCTGGTAGCCGTGTGAACCCACGCGGTTGTCTGGATCAGCCAAGGAAGGAGGGATCAATGAGGAGATCGATAGGGTCCCTGGGAGTCCTAATGGCCCCGTTACTGCTCCCTGACTCCCTGCCTGACTGTCTGATACAGCATCACACTGGGGGGGAGAAGAGAATGTGTTCATGTGTGTGTGTGGGCCATCCTAAATAATGGCTATGAACCCTGCTGAGTCTGTACTCACACTTTTGCCATGATACAGCGCAGGTTGTGTAATTGCACAGACTGATGGAGCTGATTGCCATGTGAGTGCTACAAAGCACTGTGTTGAGCTCAGTTTTAACTTTTCTTAGACAAATATGATGATAAAAGCCCACCAAAAAGAAACTTGCAGAAGGTTTATCTAACATGACTTGGATGTAATAAAGAAACATATTTAAACAGAGACAGAAATTGTTTTGATATGTAATTTGCTATTCCAGTCTCATATAGGAAATCAGTCCATAGGAATAAGCACACACTTATTCCAATGGTCACATTCAGCACAAGTTAAAAATTATTTTTTTTCTATTTCATTTAAATATTTCAACATTTTATTTTACTAACTTTTTAAGATCTTTTTTAGTTTTTTTCTTTTAACAAAGAGGTTTACAGTTGCTGCAACAGCCTCAGTATAGCCAAAAAATTTGTTTTTTTGTATTCAGTATTTTTCTTAAATAATCAAAATAACAAAGATTAAAAGTCAAAATATATATAAAAAAACAAAAAAACAAAAGCCAATATTAGCTGTCATATATAGCTTTTATTGGTCAATATCTAAAATACTTAAATCTTTTAAAATGCATTTAGAATGTAAGAAAACAATATTAACCAATTCATAATTTTATATTGTGCCAGCAAAAATTTCATACTCCTTTCTTCCCTGCAACCCTTCTATTAGGACTGGACTGTTGTGTTATATATAAAAATATGGTATACAAGAACAAAGAAAAAAAAAAGAAATTCTGTTTTAGAAATGAATAAGACTGAAATAAAAAAAAGATTTATTTACCACAAAGTGAGGACAAATTCAGTGGCAAACAGTTAATCATGTGTTAATTATGTCAATTTTTGATGAAATACCTTTAATTAAATCAATTTTAATTGTTCACAAAGTGCGCTCCTGATGTCCAGTCTGCTCCGTAGCTTTGTTTTGGTCGCTGTAACCGCAGAAAATCCTGCTTCACAAAGATAGGATATTTTTTATCCTAGTTTTATTTTTTCAAAATAAAACATCACTCAGACTCTGATCGTCAATAAATTATTCTGTGCGGCCCGGTACCAAATGACCGACGGACCGGTACCGGTCCGCGGCCCGGTGGTTGGGGACCGCTGGTCTAGACCATGCTTAAAAATTGAAATTAAGATTTTAGAAGATTTCCCAATACAAACCTAGGAATATACAGAAGTGCTTTTTTTTATTACAGATTTACTGTGTCTACATCTTCGTCCAGTTGTTGGAGGCACTTCGGGGATCCATATTGTTAAAAGTGACTCCCTTGAACCCAGGAAAAATGTTACTGTGTTCAGGCGCTAAATAAAATTGTTTTAATATTTATTTTACTCTTATTAGGTTCCAATCAGTCCGAGCTGCAAAGAGAAATTAAACATTAATGTCATAAAAGAGTTTGGGTCTTGAGAGGTTAAATAGGTATGCAATCTAATTTCCTTACAGTTCTCTTTTTTGTGTGTAGTTGATGATCAGTGTAATATTTTATCAGGTAGCTTAGGTTTGAAGTCTTTTTGAGGTGTTTTGCATGGCATTTCAAACATTTGTTTTAATGTAGTGAATCGGTTTTAAAAATGACTTGTAACCAAACACATATAGACAGCTTTTATATTCTACACTTTAGGAATAATTCAGGATAGTGTTACACATCCTTAGATCCTTGGAGCTACA